GTGTGTGTGTGCAGGTGGGCCGACAGACTGGACGTCCTCTCCTCTGCTGCCACTCAGGACCCTGAAGGTTTCCTCGGACATCCGGTGAACGCCTTCAAACTGATGAAGAGGCTGAACACGGAGTGGGCGGAGCTGGAGAGCCTGGTGCTGACGGACATGACTGACGGTGCGCGCACACACACACACACACACACACACACACGGGAACAAACAGGCGTTGCAGCAACACGCTACAGAAAGAAAGAATCATGAAGTGTGTGTCTGTTCAGTGAAGCATTGAGTCACAGTGAAGGTAGAACCTGTGTGTCAGCAGCAGAGAGCCGCTGTGATTGGCTGATCATCAGCTCGTTAGTTTCTGACCAATGAACTGAACTGAATAACTAAGACTTTGTTAGTCCCACGGTGGGAACAGCTAAACATGCGTATTGTGGATGTTTAGATTGTCTGCATTGGTCTGGATTTGGACCTGTTGATGTCGGACCTGTACGTGGTTTGGCACAGGGAGGTTCTGACACTGCACAGATTGGTCTGTAAGTAGAAAAGTACTGGTCCTGCACAGGTTCTTGTACATGCAGAAAAAGTTCTATTGCCAAAAATATCCCCAGTTCCCAGCTTTGAATGTGTTGATGTTGCACCAGATGAAGGTTTCCTGCAGATGGACCAGCATGCAGCAGAACTCGAAGCTCCGACGGGTCCAGAAGTCAGTTTATCAGCTCGTCTTCACTCTAAACTAACCTTCTCCTTTTCCTCTACAGCCGGTGCTCAGCTGTGCCGACCTTTTAGGAAGTATCTTGTAAATTACAGCAGACTTTGAGTAAATCATGATGAGACTTTAAGATAAATTCACCCCTAAAAGCCTGAAGCTGCCTCCGTCCTCAGGACGAACCAGACAAACATCACGTGTTAATTTCACTGCGTCTCTTCTTCGGTGGTGTTTCAGTGTTCATCTCCAACCTGACCATCCAGAGGCAGAACTTCCCCAACGACGACGACCAGACCGGAGCAGCCAAAGCTCTGATGAGGCTCCAGGACACCTACCAGCTGGACACCAACACCATCTCCACCGGACAGCTGCCCGGTCGGTGTGCCTCGGTTCACTGGTCACTGCTGGTCACACAGTGTTTGGAGGGGAAAAGGGTTCAACCGTCATTATTTAAAGAATAAACGTCACAGATTTGAAGGATGTTTTCCTGCCAACAGAGTTCCTGATGGAAAAGTTCCAGTGATTGAAAGAAAGCAGTAACTTAAACCCCAAACTTTTAGCAGAGTTTACAGGCACAGCTTTATTTAATCAAACACCAGACATCAGCATCGTTGTTGTCAGTTCATAAGAAATAAAACACACAAGTTGTTTCTAGAAACACAGATTAAAATGAAATAATAAAATCACGCTGGTGCAACCGTTTCAGAAGCTAAATGTCACGTTAGCATCTCGGAGGAGTTCAGGATGACGATGAATCTCATATAATCCTTTTTTAATTTCTCATTTTGTTTGCATGTTTATTTATTTGAATGGTCTTCACATCTTCATTGTGGCTTTTTCTTAAATGTTTTTGCCTTAAAAAAATCTGACATAATTCCTCCGCTGCCTTGATCCTGCTGTTGCAAACACAAACATTTTACGGGTTAAACATTTATCATTAATGTTAAAACCACTAAATGCACCTTTTTTCTTTATTATTATTAAAAAGTTAGTTTCACTGTAGTTTTACTTCCGTATGTAACAGAGATGCCCTAATGGGGAGTATTTTGAACAAACAGTGAAAATGAAAAGAAAGGAGGACCCGGATTTGATCCCTGAGGAACTCCAAACCTCATTTAGCCGATTAAGACACAAAATTGTTTGTTAAGGATTTGACTGGATACAAACAGGGAACATCTACAAGTGAGATTGTTGTTAAGACTCTTTCTCTGATGTGTGTCTTCATCTGTATGTGTGCAGGAACAAAAACAAACCTCTAAGTGTTTAGTTTTCTCTTCAGGCTCGTCCTCGGCCACCTCCCTGACGGTGGACGACTGCTACGACCTGGGCAAGGTGGCGTACTCGGAGGCCGACTACTACCACACCGAGCTGTGGATGGTTCAGGCGCTGAAGCAGCTGGATCAGGGAGAAACGTCCAGCAGCGTGGACGCCGTCGCCGTCCTGGACTACCTGAGCTACTCCGTCTACCAGCAGGGGGCGCTGGAGACGGCGCTGGACTTCACCAAGAGGCTGCTGGAGCTCGGTCAGTGCCGCCGGATTTTTAAATTCCTTGAGCAGTTGTTTGTTGTGTTTTGTGAACTCTTCCTTTGGTGTCAGTCAGCACATATTCCAAACTAGCAGTTTTTATTTCAGCCGTTCACATCAGCACAGAGCCTGAAAGTCATCAGCTTCCTCGTTAAGCCCTGAGCTGTTTTTCAGGCCTTTTCTCGAAAATGACATACCCATATTAAAAACAGTTTATCTGCAACCACAAGGTCTATCTGAATAATTCTTGTGTCATAATAAAAGGAACACTTGTAAGATTTGTTCAGATGTGTAAATGTCAGTATATATGTTACTGGTTAAAAGTAAATGTAGATGGCACACACACACACAAAAAAAGCAGTTTTAGGACAATTATCTCTTTGGAATGATCCAGCTGCAGCTCTAAACCTCTCCAGAATCATATCACAATATGTGAACATTCTCCCTGCAAAGGTTGACTCTGAAAAAGTGAAG